TTACGTCTACTAAGCCGGCTCTAGGGTCCTTACTACGTTCAATCAAGGCCACTTTTCAACCCAGCAGCGTCCTTTGTACTACCCTTGGGGGTCATAGGTTCGTTCTAAGGGGAAATCGCGATTTCGGTGACTACTGGTAAACTGCATATATTGAGTTACTACTGAAAACCGACGAAAGGCTGGCCGATTAGCTTGAGTATACCTTTAGTTCCGTCTGGGACCCAACATTTTGATCACGTTTTTCACTCTAACGATAACATCAGCATGTAAATAGTAGATTTTCAAAAAACATCGCTAACAGCAAAAATTCAAATGTGAGCGTTCGAACATTTCAAATAAACTACGGAGAACTTTGATTTCACTGCCTATCAACGTTGTCAGACGTCAAACGCCGTAGCGTTTGCATAGCACCGAGACCGGCGACACCTCAGCTCCCAAAACCTTCTGTCACCAACCGCTATCTCCATTACTGCATGTATCAAACGTAAAGGGAAAGTATGAACAGGGACCATCAATAGTGGATTTCGTGCCCTCTGAAAACGGTGATAGGTGGGTTCGCTGTCGTACTCATCAGCCACTGGTCGAATTTCCGGTCGAAAACGCTTGGGTTCATCTGAAATCTATGATCTTATGGGTAGGTTGGTTGGAAATGTGCTCTCTGGAGTTGAAGGGACGATTCTTTTCTGCTTGTTTCCTCCTAGAAACCATTGTCAAGGTCAAGTGAGCTAACCAAATTCGCCATGGCCCGGAAATAAAATAAATTATGAAAGAAGAATAAATTTTTTTTGTGAGTAGGGTGCAGGCCGTGTACATAGTGATATTTATAAATAGAATAATAAAAGAATAGTAAATAAATAGAATAATAAATAAGTAAAAATAAGAAAAAGTGAATACGAATAATAAATAAATATTTCTAAATAGCTAGACGTAATAAAAATCGAATGAGAGAATAAGGTTTTTGATTCGAGGACATGAAATTTTTAGTAACTTGAGGCCCAGAATGCGATAACCTCTCGAATCTTTCGTCTTATGACACCTTTACTCCAGACGCTTACTCGAATTTCACGGCCTAACACCTTCAGCTTGAGCGCCCAAGCATTAAAACGACCACTACGATCAACGGAAGCCGTTTCCGAAATAAACACTTCCAGGAATGCCAAAGGTCACGCCTAAAAATGACCTAAATAAAAGCCAAATTGGAGGCCAACTGGTCAGTCCGGCTTCTGATGATGAAAACTCTTGAAAATTCATTAGAAGAAAGTTACTTTAGAACTGTAAAAGAGTCGCTCTTCAGAGAAAGTGTGAAAAGTACGAGAAGAAGATTGAACAAACGCCTCTGATCAGAACGAACCATAAGCACGAGCACTCTTTTCTTATGGTCTTTGAAATTGAAGTAGGAAACCCTGGAGTACGGCATTTAGTAAAAATAACGAGTAAAAAAATAACGAATGATCGTTAAGCAAGCTTTTCGACATAGGAGCCACGGTTATAAACGAAAAAAAAATCTATTAGATCCTAGAACTAAGACTATCAATTGAATAATTATCAATTATTAACTATCAATTAATTAAAAATGGCTGATTCGTGTAACGATAGCTAAAATATTCAGGCAATGAGTCTAAGCTTCTTTTGAACATGCCAACTTACATTCTTCCAAAAGCTTCCTACTTACTTCCATTTCAGCAGCACCATTTACCTACAACTTCCTGTTTGCTTTTGCCCCTTAGAGGTCGAGCAATTAAAATGCCAAACGTAGGAAACAGACTTCAGCCTACATGAAAACGGCAATCTCCTAAAATTGGGCCTGAACACCGATGCCAGCCCAATTCCCTCTCGAGTCATTCGCTTGCTCGTTGAAGAGCTATAAAGGACATTCCAAAATGTTATTAAATTACCTTTTATTGTACAGCCCTATGTTTGAAAAAAACAAAAGTAGCACATAAATTAGAGCAACAATCCAAAAGCTTTCCCTCAGAACTTTAGCAATTTCATTACCCCGGTGTCACGGCACTCGGGCACGATTTGCAGTTCCAGGGAAATTAGGAAAGGGAAGTTGGCACGAACCTGAAAAAGTCGACTCCAAACGGACCCGACCTCGATCGAGGCAAAGTGATGTTCAGCGAATTTTCCTCGTGGCTTCTATAACTCGTAGAATCTGAGTTCGATGTCGGACTGCTATTGAGCACTCGCTCGAAGTAACCGAGAGACGGGCATTAGGAACGATTTTGGGTAATCGATTCGCCGCACGCGGCTGTCGCGGACCACTCACTCGCCGTTATTACAGCTCCTGCGTTCTTCATACAACTCAATCGATATGCGATCATTATTTTATGCATAATTCTACTATTAGTACTTTTGTTCTTATATTTCTTATCT